CTCTACCGTCACACCTGCTTTTCCACAAATATACTGGACCCTTACTGACATGGTCGATCGGCCACATATGCCGGACCCTTCCAGGACATCACGTGCAGTCTCGTATCTTGCTGGGGGCGGGCCCCGGAGCAGGGCGCAGCTGCCCCTCGGCAGGGGCGTGCGAGGAAGCCTGGTCAAAAGGCCCCTCCTACCGGCACTGGCGCGACCCGAGGCTGCGCAACTGCGTTGCCAGCAGGGCTGCGCGCCCAAAACCCCAAGCGAGCACGTTGCGATCCCTGAGATTCCAACCCCCGAGGATCCCGGCCGACCCCGCCGACGGTCCCACTCGGGAGCCCCCCAAAACTGAACCGCTGCTTTGGCTGTCGCCCGCAATCTTCCCCTAACACCCTGAAAGCAATTGTTCCTAAAGGGCGTCGCCAAAAAGGGCACGAGGGCCCAGTGGCACACCAGAGACCCCCACGCTTGGCGCCCTACTACGACGCTCAGCTCCGAAGGCGTTATGATCCCCGGTCTCCTCAGCCTGTTGCAATCTGAAGCTTCCAAGTTTGCGAACCTGTGGGGCGCCGCGTACGAGGAGCGAGGAGGAGGAGGACGAGGAGGAGGAGGACGAGGAGGAGTTGGAGGAGGAAGAGGTGCAGGAGAGGAGGAGGAGGAGGAGGAGGAGGAGGAGGAGGAGGAGGAGGTGGGGGAGGAGGAGGAGGAGGAGGAGGAAGGGGAGGAGGGAAGCTAGGCGTGCTGGAGGCTCGACCTTCCCTGGAGCCGCAAGTGCTCGGGGGCCTCGGCCGCAGTTCTTCTCGCGCAGCCGCCCTCTCGGCGGACGGCCTTCACATGCGCCACCTTGCGCAGATTAGCAACGGCGTCCTCCTGGCCCTGGGAAAGATGGGGAAGATGTTCCAGCTTTGGGGGAGTTCGCCGGCTTTCCCGGCTCAGCTGCGTGCAGGTATCCTGGCCACGCTTCCCTAGGCCTCAGCAGGCTTCAGGCCCATCGGCCTCTTCGTGGGCACCTACAGGCTATGGGGGCGTTCTCGCCGTCGCTTGGATGAGGAGTGGGAGGCGTCGTGGACCCGACCATTCTTCGCCTGTGCCAGCTTCAAGTCTTCCTTGGGTGATGTTTTGGAGGCGCACATCTATACACCGACCTGTTCGGGGCGTTTTTTTGTTGAGCGCGTGGGCCAACACGGACGGCGTTAGCGCAGTCGCCGACAAAGGGCGCGCATGCCATGCACCCCGTCCGGGGCGCGTTTGGGCAGGCGCGGGCATGGCCGCAGCGACCCAGGTACCCATGCCGGAAAACCGCAGCCCATCGTTTTGACGCTGTCTCTAGGCGAGCGCTGCCTCGCGCCGACGTCCTCTATGCAGGCCCGCGGCCTGGCGTGCGCGCTCGCGATACATACACTCCTCAGAACGTTTACGGGCAAGCTCTTATGTCCGAGGACCGCGTTTCCAACAAACAAGTTTTGGCTAGGTTTCTCCGGGACATGTACCAGGTTGACGACTTGTTCGATCTGATTTTTTTTGTTCTGGACAAGTGTAGACGAGTTGGATTATCTCCGCAGGTCTCGTCGATGCGCCTTCGCCTACCAGTGTGTCCGTTTCGTCATGATGCATGGTAATGTGAATGGCCTGTGGCCAGCCAACAAGAGTGTCATCGCAGGTTGCTCGATCGCGACGGCATTCGTCAAGATATACTCCGTCCTCGACCTCGATCGTTTGAAGATACCACGGGCCATCACCTTGAATACCTACATTGATGACTGTGCTCTTAGTCACACCAGCAGTGATTCTCTGGTGGCCAGGGACTTGGTCGAAACTTCATTGAAAGTGAGCTTTGTGGATTGATCGCGCCACGGGGGCCACGACCGACAAGGCTTGCCTCATCTCCTCCTCCCCGCGGGTCGCCAGAAATTGGAGGAATCGTCTTGGGGGTCTTGCTGGGCCACTTACTCGTGGGGTACCAGATCTGGGCTTCGATGATGCTCACGGGAAAGTTCGTCGCTCCAACGGTCGTTGCGCTGATCCCAAGAAGAAACTAGAAGCGGAAAGTGCGCAGATTGAGGTGCAAGCAATTGTTCGCGGCAGGGCCTCCCCATGGCGTCCACTATGATGCTGGACTCCATCGGCGTACTGATGGAGATGTCCGAGGGAAACGACGAGCTCTTGGCCGTACCATGCAGCCGTTTACCCGCCATCGTTCTTAAACTATACGGTTGATAGCAGAGAGTGGTCCAGCATGGCTTGCAGCACCTGCTCCTATCGCCTTTCGCAGTTGCGCAATGCTCGGCACGCCACGCGCAACAAGACCGACCTGACGTGGCGATGCCGTCGTAGTGGGCCCGTAAAAGGCCATGAAACTCTCGATATGCAGGGTCGACTGGAACATGGAATATCCTTTTACCTTCACGAACGACCTTGGTCAGGGGGGGCATTTCCCTCACCATCACCTCCCCGGGACTTCTGAAGAAGCTGCTGCGCGAAGGTGTCGTGAGATCCCTGGAGAAAGATCGGCCATCTCAGCCGTGGACGCCCCGGGCAGACTGTGCTGTGACGCCACTGTTGCCGAGACCCGTTCGGCGAGGCTCGATGCTCTCCAGAGTCGCTCCATCGAGGTGTTCTGTGGGGTTAAATGGCCTCGTGACAAGGCGATCTATCTTGGGTACCAACGTTGCCCCAAGTGCGTACAGTGTGGTGAGACCGACTCTCTGCGCGCTCTGTGCGGAGCTCAGAGGATCCCCGTTCAAGTCTTGGGTTCTCGAGGTCTCTCAAGCCCAATTCTCACTAGAGGCCTCTTCAGACACCGTGGGGATCTCTACCATCCCCCCCTCAAGGAAGGAGGTTGCCACGACAACCCCAACAGGAGGGATAGAGCTTTTAATTAATTGTCTGGTCTCAGCGTCATGGATGGTTCGTGCCTCAAGCATTCAGTTCGCGAGCTTGCCTGTGTGGGATGGGGCCTCTCTGTCTTTGCCGCCGCCGATCTTTCAAGCCAGGTCTGTACCGTCACAGCCCCAGTGTGGAGCCCCACGCCCCAAATCAGTCATGGGGGAGAATACTCCAACGGTCCCAGTGACTATTAGACTGACAGTTTGAATGTGAATAAACGTGTGTCTAGCGGCGTGCTGCTGCAAGTGCTTTCGCAGCGGAGTCGTGTCAGGAATCCGGCTAGAGTCAAGGCTCCTCAAGACATGCAGGCCGAGATGCCACCCGAGGAAGGCTTTAGGATGGGCAACTAGCAGGCCCGACATCGCAGCAAAACGTGGTGTTCTCCCGCAGCCCGCTGATTCGCCAGAGATTCAGGAAGAAATCTCGGAGTCCGTGCCTGTTGCTAAGGCCGTCACGAAACTCTGAGCTCACCTCCTCCCTCTCTTGGAGCCAGAGAACTCACAGTACTGCTTTGAAGGAGGTATTTGCTAGAGGAAACAGGCCGTGTAGTAGAGTGGTTTCGCTCTGTTGCGCGACAGCGGCGGCGGCGCGTCCGAATTGCCCAGCCACGTCCTGCGCTCGCGCCGACGTGCGCGGAGGAGGAGGAGGAGGAGGAGGAGGAGGAGGAGGAGGAGGAGAATTGCCCAAATTGAGGGCGTGCAGCGGATCGTCCCTCAGCGTCAACGGTCCGCGGCCTGGGCGGGCCATGTGCGGGCGCGGGGGGGGGGTCGGGTCCGCCTGGCAGTGTCCTCAATGTCTGGCAAACGCTTTCTTGACCCGGCGTTTCGACATTGGGCGGAGGGCGGGGGCGAATGGGGGAGGCTCTGGGCTTCGCGCGACTGTTTGCAGCAGTGCGTCCTATGGGAGGGGACTCCACCTGCTCGAAACAGGCGCCAGAAACAGCCAAAATCTACTCCATGCGTGGGGGGAGGGGGTGCGAGGGCCCGCGCCGATCGGCAAAACAATAAATTAGAAAACGATCACCTGCGTGGGAGGCAGTCTGCGGCGGAACCACCTCCAGGAGCTTGCTCTCGCCGCGCTCGCGTCCGTGTGGACGCTTTCGCTGCCCTCGGCCACCGCTCTTGGCTCGTGGACTGCAGCGACGATGATCTTGTCTGTGCTGTGCCCGGTGTAGAGGATGATAAGAGCACATCAACATGAACTTTCGACGGTCCGCGCGAATTGTTTTGGGACTTGCGCTGGGCCCTTTGTGGGCCCCGGAAACGGCAGGGCCGTTTTTTCACCGTTTCCGAAAAAGTGCCCCTTGAACATGGAAACGGCAAAAAAACGGCGACCGGAAACAGCAACAAAAACGGCTCCAGGACTGGAACCGAAGCCGGAACCGGTCACAAAAACGGCGCGACGGAACCGGTAACAAAAACGGCGTCGGAACCGGCAAGAAAACGGCAGAACAGAACCGGTAACAAAACGGCCCTGTCGTTTCCAGGGCCCACTAAGCGCTGGGCCCCCCTCCCTGGCGCGCGGAGCGCGCCAGGGACGGCGCTGGCGGCGCCGCCAGGGGGCCCCAGCACGGCCGGCCACCCGCCCGCCCCCTACCCAGGACACCGGCCTCCTGGGCTCGCGCTTCGAGGAGGCCCCACCCCGAAGAGGCCCAGGGTCCTCCTCCTCCTCCTCCTCATCCTCCTCCTCCATCTCCTCACGCTCAAGCCGGCTCAGCTCTGGCACCCGCGAGGGCCGACTGGACACTTTCCCGCAAGTTCCTGGACTGGAGGGACAAACAACGGCATGCACATGAACGTTTTGAGGTCCGCGCGGACTTCTTGTATCTGCGCTGGACCCCCCTCGCTGGAACGCGGAGCGCGCCAGGGGCGGCACCGGAGGCGCCGCCTGCGGGGCCTAGCGCGGATCCAAGAAATCCGCGCGGAGCGCCAAAAGTTTATGTTTATGGCGTTCGTTTTCTTTGAGGGAGTCTTTTGCGCCTCGGCCAGTCTCAATGCAGAAGGCTGCCGGTGCCTTGGTGCTCTGCGCGTCCAAACATCCTCCTGTGCGCCCCCTCCCCTCCTCTCCTCCCCCCTCCCCCTCCTCGCCCGCGAGAGCGGCCAACAGAGAAGAGGGAGCGCCTCTACGAAGCAGGCAGCGCGCTCAGGGTGGTCGTCGGCGGGGTCGGCGTAGGCCGGACTCTGCCAGATCTCGCTGCGCTCGGTGTCCGAGTGCACCTCTGGGGCGTGGGAAAGGCAAGGAGGCTGCAGCTTCTTTGGGAGTCACTTGAAGTTGGTTCTAAATCCAATCGCCAACCTGCATGTAGGTTGTTTTTGTCGTCCAACAGCCTTCCACTCCTTGGGAGGGGGGGCATCACTGTTCCTTCTTGGTAGGCTCCTCCTCCTCCACTCGGCCGGCCGCCAATCAGGAACCAGACGGGCACCCCGCACAGTCTCTTTAAAAGCCATCGTGCACGTGGCGGCAGAACCTGGATCATGAGCGGGAACCCTCACGAGCACTTTGCATGTTTTGCTGACAGAGATGGCGGGGGACACATTTTTACGCTGCGCGCTGTCCCGCCGCCGCTGCCACAAACAAAAATTAAATGCTCGCAAGGGTTCCGCTCACGATCCCGATGTTTAAGGCCAGGTGCACAATACGTTGTCTTTCGTCAGGATGACGGAGGGGGTCCTGGTTAGCGGCTGGTCGAGTGGGAAAAAGGAAGGGGGTATGTGCCCGCTGTGCGATGTCCACTATCCATTCTACAAACACTTTCGAAATTGTGTGATCACGGGATTCCCGCTAAGGGTCCAAATTGTTCCACCACGTGCGCTTTGCTTTTCGGCAAGGATGGTGCGGGGAGGGTCAGGATAGCCATCCAGCCGGAGTTCGGGATCAGCCAGAGCACACTGAGGAAAGCAACTGCTGAGCCTGCCGTCGAAGGAGGACGAGCAAGGACCCGAAGAGGTGGTGGAGAAGGAGGTGGAGGCGGGAAGAGGCCCGCGGGGCTTGCGTAGAATATCAGAGCTTGTGCGAAGCATACAGAAAACACAAACGCTGCGTATGATGCTCTCTTGGTGGCCTCGAGAGCCATCCTTGAGGACAGCAGCCAAAGATGGGGGGTTCTCAGTTAGGAGGTATAGGGCTGCAGCGTCGCAGCCCAAAACGTCGCCCCTCGGAGCTCTCTTCGGACGCTCTCGGTGCGCTCTGGGGAGTCCACTGGGGCCGCCTGGGAGCCATCCTGTGTCCTTCGCGGGGCTGTCTTGGAGCCATCTCAAATCATCGGGAGCGAAAAAGCGCGAACGCAAACGTGTTTGGAACGCATCGCCATGTCTGTTGTGTGATGGTGGCCTCGCGGTGGTAGCACTGGAAGGCCCCCTGGCCACTTGGGGCCGTCTTGGGGTGAGATTGGGGCCTCTTAGCGGCATGCTGGTGGCCACTCTGGGTTATGTTGTGCTACATTGTGGCCCTCGGAGGCCCCCTTGGAGCCAAGCCCTGGCCACCTTGGGCTCCTGAAGAACGAATGCCTCGCAGGCCCACCCTCCAGGCCCATTGCGAGGGGGAATGCCACAGACTATTTCGTGCCTTCTCGCCCGCTCCCCACCGTTCGGCGGCGAGCGAGGGGGGGAAGTGAGAAGGAGAAGGCCTTCTCAGAAGGCGGCGGGACTTCTCAGAAGCCCTCAGGCCTTATGAGGACTTGTCTGTGTGTTCGGGGAAGGCACAGAAAACCTCTCAGAAGGCTGGGAGGGCTTCCGAGCCCTCGGAAAAGGCCTTCTCATTCTCGCTTCCCCCCCTCGCTTGTCGCCGAACCATACAAGTAGCACCCGAAACTCAGACCAGGCGAAGGTCACCATCGGATGGGCATACACTGGGAATTAATGCAGACGCCAGTGCGCCACGCACGCCAGGTGCGCTGCGCGCACCAGGTGCGCAAGGTGCCACAGGAGCCCACACTTGTCAAGCGCCACGCGCTCCACGTGCGCCACATGCTCCACCTGCTCCGAGTGGGCCGCCTGCTCCAGCCGCGCCAAGTGCGAAAACATACGCGGCAACACAGATCGGGTAAGATGCCAACCCCTGACCATGAGTGTCAAAAACCATTGCAAGATAGCGGCAGGGTGGTCAGGATGGTGCATGGTGCGTACACCCGCGAGGAGCTTGCATCTTTGTTTGGCAAGGATAAGGGGGCCAGAGACAGCAGACAAAGAAACATCCCGTCCCCCACTCCACCAGCCGCCACAGAGGAACCATGAGGGCACCTCCTCTGCTCCATTGAATGATCCTACACTTCATTGATCATTTCTGGACGGGCTGGTGGGGACACGCGATGCGAACATCAATACAGAAGTAGTTAGCTGCATACGTGCAGACTCCATACCACATATGTATATATATATATATATATATAAAGCAACAGACAGTCATAGCAATGCCTGTGTAGCCAGTTGCCTCGGAGGCCTTTCACAAGACAGCGCGTGCAGCAGCGTGCATCTCGTTGTCGAGCCCAGGGAAAAAAACACTGCGCGCGAAGAGATGGCACAGCGGCCACCCCGTGCCATCAGTCACTCGGAGGAGGCGAAGGTCCACAGGGTGCGCCCGTCGTGCCAGACAGGCGTCACGTGTACTACAGTCGGGGCGTTGACCTAAGGAACCCTGAATAAGGAACGAGGCTTCTTTTTCCCATAAGTTAAACCTCGATTTCCTATGGAACACCTCAGGAAAACCCGAGGCAAACTTTGAAACAATCAAGGAACACCGAGCCCTTCCCCAACGAAGAAGGTTCCTTCTGCAGTGCCCCGGCTGTACTACAGTGCAGACGCGGCCGCAGGAAACCCTCGAGAAAAAAAACAGCCCTTCAAAACCCGCAGGCGCGAGGTGCAAGTGCGGGGGGGAAGCCAAGACACCCCGAACGCAGCAGCTCCTTCAGCGGCCCCAGGAAGTCACCGCGCCCGCGCGCGGGGCGAAGACACCCACCCAGGATACCCTGACGAAAAGCATTCGATTTCTCGATGCGCGTACCCACTGTAAGTGCTCGCTTCCCGGCCATGGGTCGAGTCCTTGGGCCCCACGCACTATGGACCCGACGCCTTCCCACTCCAACAACCTTACGAGATGATATGGGTCGCTTCTCGTCAAACCCATCTGTCACCGTCGCCGCGATCTTAGTGTCGCTGCGAAGTCTGGCAAGCACCATGAGGCACGATCCAAAAGCGAACGACTTGCGTCGGAGTGCACCGCAGACGCGGGCGTCGTGATCATGTCGATCTCCAGGCGCAGAAACAAATCAGCAGCCGATCCTGAATATGCTGAGGTCTGCACTCGCGAGCGAACACATGCCAGCTATGCAAACACTCATTGTCCAACAGGATTGACCACGGTCAGACCTAGCACAGACGAGCATCCATCAAGAACATGGGACCCTCCATTGGCCAACACGCCCCAAACCGTGAGTGCACCGAAGGTACCCCTCCCAGTTGCACAAGAACGCCCAGCAAGCACGAAGAACATCAGGGCACCCTCCCCGAGCCGACCTCGATCTGCCACTGACACCTCGGCCCGACCGAGCTTCCCAATATTCGCTTCGCTTCGATCTGCGACGGGCCGCGCAGCACTGCCGACCGCGCCTCTCAAAGGCCGCATGCACCGATCCCCGTCGCGGCCAGCGCGCCGCGAGCGGCCGCGGCGCGCGAGACCCAGACGGCACGCTGCTCCTCATCCTCCCGCTGCTCCTCGAGGCCTCCCCCTCCTGCTTCTGCTCCTCGCCCTCCGTCATCCTTTGTAACCTTCTCGACTTCTCTTCCGCACTCGGCTCCTCCTCCTCCTCCTCCTCCTCCTCCTCCTCCTCCTCCTCCTCCTCCCCATCTTCATCCTCCTCCGCCTCCTCCTCCTGCATCACCTTACCCTGCTACGTCCTCCTGCTCCTCCTCCCTCCTTCTCTTCCTGCTTCTCATCCTCCCCCCGCCCAGTCCTCCTCTGGTCTCGCCATGCTGCTCCCAGGGGGGATGCCGAAGCAGAGACGAAGGGTTGCATGGCAACTCCGCCTGTCCTGCTGCCTCCTCCTCCTCCTCCTCCTCCTCCTCCTCCTCGTCCTGCTCCTCCTCCTCCTCGTCCTCGTCCTCCTCCTCCTCCTTCTCCTCCTCCTTCTCCTCCGCCTCCTCCTCCTCCTCCTCATCCTAATCCTCATCCTCATCCTCATCCTCATCCTCAGCAGCATCTGCATCATCATCATCATCATCATCATCATCATCATCATCATCATCATCATCATCATCACCATCATCATCATCATCATCATCCGCAGCAGCAGCAGCATCATCATCATCATCATCAGCATCAGCATCATCATCATCATCATCATCATCATCATCATAACCATCACCATCATCATCATCATCATCATCATCAGCAACATCAGCATCAGCATCAGCATCATCATCAGCATCAGCATCATCATCACCATCACCATCACCATCATCATCAGTAGCATCATCATCATCATGACCACCATCATCATCGAAATCAACCTAAACATCATCAGCAATATCATCAACATCATCATCATCAGCATCATCAACATCATCATCATCATCATCATCATCATCATCATCATCGTCGTCGTCGTCGTCGTCATCCCAATTTCTCCTGCTGCTGCTGATGATCCTCCGCTTACCTCCGCCTCCATCGTCCACCGCTTTCCATTCCCTTCCCCATCCACCTTCTCCTCATGCTCCTTCTCATCCTCGCGCCCCCCCGCCCCCGCCCCCCTCCCTACTCTCTCTCTCTCTCTCGTTATCCTCCTCCCTCACCCTCCCACCGCCCTCCCTATCTTCCCCCTCTCTGGCCCCTTCGGCTGCTCGTCACCTCCTCCCTCAACCTCCGCGGTCGATGGAGCAAGGGAAGCGGAACCACCGGCCGCCTCGTCGCCACCCCCTCCTCACCTCTAGTCCTCGGATGGCAGGAGTGGCAGCGGCGGAGGGCGGCGGCGGCGGCAAACGGGCGCGACGGCGGCCGCGCGCCGGCGGCAGCGACGCGACAGCCGAGGGCCTCTCGCGGCAGAGCTTCCAGCAGCTCGTCGGCGAAGCCCGCCAGGGAGCCCGGCCAGGCCCCAGAAGGCGGCTCGGCGTGGGGCGTCGCCGCTGCCGTCGCCGCTGCCGCCGTCGCCGCTGCCGCCGTCGCCGCTGCCGCCGCAGGGCCCCGCCATCGTGGCGGTGGCCGCCACCACATCCACCATGCTGAAAGGCCCTGCTGTCTGGAAAACCAACATCTGCCAAGCCAGCCCCCTAGGCTGGGCAGGTCCAAAGGAGGAGGAGGAGGAGGAGGAGGAGGAGGAGGAGGAGGAGGAGGAGGAGGAGGAGGGAGGAGGAGGAGGAGGAGGAGGAGGAGGAGGAGGAGAGGAGGAGGAGGAGGAGGAGGAGGAGGAGGAGGAGGAGGAGGAGGAGGAGGAGGAGGAGGAGGAGGAGGAGGAGGAGGAGGAGGAGGAACAAGAGCTAAGATGCGGAGGAAAACAACTGGGGGCACCTCCCGTAGGTACAGTGCTGGCCCCGCCCCAGTCCTGCACACCAGCGCCGGCGAGCGCTCGGCAGGAGGAGAAGGAGGAGCAGGAGGAAGAATAACACAACTAACTAGCAGGCGCCAACATGCAGGAGGAGAGGGAGGGCGGCAAAGGCAGCAAGGCAGCAGGGGCGGGCGGGGGGCGGAGGGGGCGAGTGACGTCGGTGGAAGTCGTGGGTCGTCGTGGGTCGTCGTGGTTCAAGGGATCGTCGTGGTCGTCGTGGCGGTTGCTGGCCGTTTGGGGCCAGGCGGGGCGTCGGGAAAAGCGGGCGGGGTCGACGGCGAAGGCGGGCAGGGGGTGGTTCACACAGCATCCGCCGTGGCGGCTGCGTTGGCCGCGGCTAACCGCTCGGCCGTCGCGCCCGCTCGCGGCTGGAGGCGCCGCAGCACTGCCCGCGCATTTTCCCTGTGCAGGGAAATCGAAAACCGCTGGGCAAGCTGATCGGCCGCGAGCGCGGCGTCGTCTCCAGTAGCGTCGGCCGCGCGCTTTGCGAGCACCGCGAAGGCGCGTCGCGCCTCGCGGCCCCAACCGCCGCCGTGGGCCTCGCAGACCATCGGTATGAACGTCAGGCCGGCCTCTGAGCATTTGCGCTGCGCGTCCAAGTGCAAGCGCTTCTGCTCCTCGTAGCGGGTCGCCGCTGCGTCGCCGCCGCCCTCAGCGGCAGAAGCCGCGAGTAAGTCCGCGCGGAGGCCCGAGGTCACAGCGAAATCCCACGCCGCCGGCGTGCCGCCTCGCCACCGCGGGACGAAGACGTCCGCGGGGCGCCTCCCGTCGCCGTCCAGGTCGCCGCCGCCAGCCTCGCCAGCCGGGGGGCCCTCTCCAGGAGCGCGCGGCGGCAGCAAGCCCGGGCGCTCGAGTTCTGCCCCAGCGTAGCCAGCAGCCAGTGCCTCGTGCCAGGCTTGGTTCCGGAGGCAATTGTGGCGCTTCGTGCGGTCACCGCGGCAGCTGCAGGTGAGCGCGTGGTCTGCGAACACATCCATCACCTCCCCGCACGCCGGGCAAAACGCCTCTTCTTCGAGCAGCTGGTGTCGAAGGCGTCGCTGCAGCGCAACTTGCATCAAGCTGCGCGGAAAGTCGGTGCCGAGCGCCCGGCACGGCGGCGCCTGCAAGTAGGCTCCAGCGCCTGGGGCCGCCACCAAGTTAAGGTGGGCCCTCGTCGCCTGCGAGGCGCGTTGCCAGAGGTCGTGGCGGACAGCGTCGTCCACCTTTCCAGAGAGGAGCCGCTGGTCTCCGCGCTGGGCGGGGTCGAAGGCGATTTGGTCTGCTGGAAGGACAATGTGGTTGTAAGCCTGCGTGGCTGCCGCCAGGCTGCCTCCGTCTCCGCCGTCGGCGTCGTTGTAGGCTCCGTAGAGCTGTCGGCAGAGTTCCGCGCTGCGGGCGCGCGAGGCTAAGTAGGCGGCCGCTGAGTGCTTCTCGGCGGAGCGGAGCCCGAGCCCGCCTCGGTTGAGCTGGAGCTGCGCTTGCTTCCAAGAGTCGTCCAAGGGGGAACATCCACTGAGCTGCTCCAGACAAGCCCGGACGGCGGAGTCCATGGTCTGCAGCGCGCCAGTCTGCGCCGTCGGCGGAACCACGCGCGCGGAGTAGCCCAGCTTGCAGTAGGAGGCGCACTGGCGGAGCAAAAGCAAGGCAACTTGGGCGTTTTCCAAAGCCCCGAGAGCCTCCAGCAGGTCAGCAGCCTTGGCCACTCTTGTCCTGGTGTGTTCCGCGCAGAAGTTGTCGTCCCCCACGGGGGCCCCCAAGAGTTCGAAGCTGTTGTCTTCCCTGAGACGGAAGCCTGGCGGGAACAAGTTCAAATCCACGCTGCTGTCCGCGCCGCTGGCAGGTACCACCTCGCACTTGCCTGGCCCAGTGCTGAGGTCCAGTCCAACTGCGGTTAAACGCCTCACCAAGTGGTGCATAAGGCGGGCTACTGCGGGCGCGTCTCCGGCCAGGCAGCCGTCGTCGAGGTAGAAGAACACCAAGTCCAGGGAGCCGACGGCAGGGTCGGCCTGCTCAGCGCGCGCCTGCTCCACGCAGCGTTGCAGAGCGAGCGCGAAGAGTAGCGGGCCGAGCGGGTCGCCTTGTTGAACGCCGCGCTCGGAGGACAGCGGCCGAGTTCTCTTCCCCAGGAACAGTGAGCTCGGGGCGCCGCAGCACCAGTCCACAAAGGGGGCTAGACCAGGGAAGTCTTCGTGAACGGCTTGCAGGACTGCCTGCCTGTCAAGCGTGTTGAAGGCATTCGACAGGTCGAGTTTCACGAACACCTTCTGGCGATCCCCCTGGTTCCTGCTCCACCACTGCCGCGCGACGTGGACCGCGGCCTCTGCGCCCCCGGGCACCGCCACCCCCAGCTGCAGAGGCGCAAGCCTGCCACGCGCCGCGTCTGACACCTCGCCGCAGAGGCACTTGCCCACCAGGCGGCGCAGGGTCTCGCCCACGGCGACGGGCCGCAGGCCGCCGTCTTTCTTCGGGAGGGCCGCCAGCGAGGCCCCGGCGAAGAACTTCGCGGTGGCTGGGGGCGCCTGGCCCCGGGCAAGCAGGTTGGTCAGGCTGAGGAGCTGCTCCAGGACCTCGTCCTTGTGGGCCGTCGTCTGCAGGGCGTCCTTGAGGTGCTGCGGTCGCAGGCCAGTCGGCCCCGCCGCAGACCCGCGAGGGAAAGCCTTGATCTCCCGCTCCACAGCGGCCGCGTCCACCTGCAGGGCAGCCGCGGCGTGCACCTGGGGCAAACTGGAGAAGTCTACTGCCCGGCTGCTGAGAGGGTGCTTGCGGCGCATTTGGTCGACGACCTCTGGAGTGACGTCGACGGGCGGCTCGCTCACAAGAGCGGCACAACTCTTCGAGTACTGGGCGTCGGCCGCCAGTTCTAGGCACCTTTGGGCGCGCCCCGCGGCCTCGTCCTCGGAATGTTGCTTCCTCGCCTCGCGTCGCTCTGTTGTCTCGGCCCATAGTGACGCTCGCTCGCCCTCTAACCACCGTCTGCAAAGCTCTTTCGTTTCCGCCTCCGCGGCGTTCCTGCTGTTGCGGCCGCCGCGGGCGTGCGGCCGGAGCACGCACTTCGGTAGCATGGCCAGTTGGATCCAAGCAGCCTCGTTGTTGGCGTGGGTGGCGAGCGCCGTCGCCTGGACCAGGCACCGCGCCCACAGCGTGCGAGCGCCCTTGGGCACGTACCGCTTGGTGCCCGCGAGTCTGGCGAAAACCTCCTCCAGGGAAGGGAGTCCCGGAGGTCGCGGCACAGCGTCGTCAACGGCCGGGGCGGCTCCCGCGGCCGCTGCCCGGGCGGCGGGGCGGCAGCGGGGGCAGATGCCGTTGTAGCGAGTGGACAAGAAACGCTGGCACACGGAGCACTAGCTCAAGCGGTGATCGTCCAGGTAGTCTTGAGGCACTGGGGGGAGGCCATGGAAACGACCAGCAGCATGTTCGTTCAGGTGTAGCCGCATGGACTGGTGGTCCGCCCACCCTGCAGTGGCCGCTGGGTCTGCGCGCGGACACCCGGGGACAGGACAGAAGACCCGAGTGCGCGGGCGCACGCGCCGGGCGAAGTCAGGACCCTCGGGCGCAGCTGGCGGTGGCGGGGCTGCCGCGGCGGCTCCTGCGTGCTGTTGCGGCGGTTGGTGCTCGGCGGCTGGTTGGGCGCCTCCCGACGGCGCTGCTTCTCCCCGAGCTGCTGCTCGCCCTGGGCGTTGCTGTCGCTGCTGCTCCTCCAGCGGCACGCCGGCATCGACGTGCATATCCCTCTCCGCGTCGATATGCAGCCCTTCCATCCGCAGCGCAATCTGTGGATCTGGTTCGTCGCCCTCTGTGCGGTTGCGCCGGAGTTGGCGCCCTGGGGAGCCCTGGTTCCTGCCCATTTCCACGAAGGTGTTGTGCACTGCCACGTTCTGCTGAGGGAGGGCCGCCTCACGGATGTCGTTGTCGCCCGAACCCGAAGCAGGGAAGGCTGGAGTGAGGACGGCTCTGGTCAGCAGCGCGGCCTGCGCGCACAACATCAATGTCGGGTGCGGCTGGGCGTCCGCGATGGGGCTCAGAGCGAAAGTCGACGCCACCGTCACTGCTATGCACACTGGCCAGACGAAGTGAATCTCGGACAGCAGTGCCGAGGCACACGCACCAGCGAGAACTTGCTGTCGACGCGACCCGTATACCGCTGCCCCGAAAGACATGACCTGCGTAGGCGAAGTCGCGAAGCACGCCGACAGAACGACCATCTGCTGGATCAAAGTGTTCGTCGAAAGAGTCCCCGCCAGCAGGTGTAAGCAGTGGGATCCACCAATGCCGCCTAACCACACGACAGCACGCCATGGGAAAGCCGCAAGCACCGGAGGGAGTAAGCTGAGGATGTCGTGGACAAGCTCGAGCGCCCGCTCAACTCCGGAAGTGGGGCGGGGCCATGGCGAATACATCCGGGGCGCACTCAACGGACTCGAAGATGTCGAACGAGCTCCTGAAACGGAGGAGGCACAGCTGCGCAGGTGTTGAAGAAATACCAGTTCGGCTGCGCACGTGCGCTGCCCAGGCGGGCCGCTGTCGAGCGCGCGGGCTCTAAGCAGTGGCGTCGGCGGGTATCCGAACAGCTCCGAGATGCGGACCGTCTTGGTCTGAAAGTCCGTGGGGAGGCCCGTCAGCCCAAGCCTCCAGAGGACGTCGAACCACGTCGGCAGAGCGGCGGCACGGTCCTGCAGGGAACCTGGGGAGGGATCAGCACCTAAAAAGGACCAAAAAACAGACCAAGATTCAGGGGAAAATTCGTTGGAGCGCCCGCTTGAAAGGCCTGAGTCCCGTGACCCCATGAGGGTCTATGGCTGGAGAGGTGGCCCCTCCTAGCGCGGAATCCTCGGGAAGGCTTCCAGCTCCTAGAAAGCGAACGCAGGGGTGCAGCACCCTCGTTCCCTCGGACGCTCTCAATCCTGCTGCGTCGACGGGCGGGCGGTCCCGGCGGGTGCGCAAAGGAGCCTGGACAAGGAGGAACCTGGCCCCTGGTGGGCAGAGGACCTGGGATCCCGTCGGGAGACGCAGGGAAGACAGGAACGATCGCGATAGACGAACCTTCCGAGGCCTTCTGGGACGCCAGGGCCCCCAGGGCCACAGGGGGCGGGGGATCGATCGGCCTTCCGTGGCATTGGGACCCACGAGTCCACGAAGGCGTCCCAAGCGACGAGGCGGCGCCAGCGTCCCAAGCGACGCGCGGCAGCAGCACCAGCCCAGCGCTCGGCGCCAGCGGGGAGTCCTCCACGTGCAGCGGCAGCACGGCGCGCGGCGCAAGCGCGGGGCATGCGGGCACCTCAAATGGGACAGCCCTAGAAGGAGAAAAAAGAAACCCGCACCCGTACCACGCGACCCAGACGTGCTGGTGTGGGGACGGGCGAGACAAAGGCGGGGTAGGAGAGAACGGGCAAGGAGGACAGAAGGAGGAGGGGGAGGAAGAGGAGGACGCCGGAATGAGAAAGGCCACCAGGGGCGATCCGCGGATGGGGTAGGGAGGGTGGGCGAAAGTGGGCCCCACGGAACCTAAACCCAACTGAATTTGGATAGTCCCCTGAGTCCACGACCGCGCACGAGACAGCGGCATCCCAGGCGGAGGGTCGTCCACGTGCAGCGTCAGCACGGCGCGCGGCGCCGGCAAGCGGCTGGCGGACTCCTCAAGTGTGACAGCCCTAGAAGGAAGAATAAACTCGCAACCGCATCCCGCGATCCACACATGCTGGTGCGGGGACGGGCGAGACGGAGGCAGGGGAGGGGAGAACGGGCAAGCAGGAAAGGAGGAGGAGGAGCAGCAGGAGGAGGAGGAGGAGGAGGAGGAGGGGGAGGAGGACGACGACGTCGGAGTGGGAGTGGCCCCCCAGGGAAATCCGCCGAGGGGGTTGGGGGTTTGGGGGCAAACAGGCCCTGGGAATCCTGACCCCCACAGCATGGTGGAGTTACCCCGGAATGAGCCGTCTGAGTCCTGCTCCAGGCCAAAGGGTCCCGGGGTAGCACGGGGAGGCGAGCCAGCAACCCCCTTTTGAGTTTCGAATCCCTGTGTCCACGAAGTCGTCCAGCTCGGGCCGGGGCTGGCGGTCTGGCGGCCGCAGGGCGAGAAGTCCAGCCAGTCTGGGTGGGGCGCCGGGTAGGGCGTCGGGCTGGGGTGGGGCGTCAGATAGGGCGCCGGGCGGGAGTGGGGCGCCATGCTGGTGTACGGCGCTCCGTAGGGCGTCGTGTTGGGGTAAGTCGTCGGGTAAGGCGTCGTGCTGGGACACGGCTTCGGATAGGGCGTCCGGCTGGAATTGGGCATCGGGTGGGGCGTCGGGTTGGGGAGCGTCGGGTACGGCGTCGTGCTGAGGTAAATCGTCGGGCAGGGCGTCGTGTTTGGGGAGGGCGTCGGGCAGGGCGTCGGGCTGAGGTAGGGCGTCGGGTGGGGCGTCGGGAAGGGCGTCGGGCTGGAGTAGGGCGTCGTGTTGTGGCAGGGCGTCGGGCTGGGCGTCGGGCTGGGTAAGGGCGTCGGGCTGGGGTGCTGGGTTGGGAGACGATTGTCTGACTGTCGCGATCGAGTGGATGTTTGGGATCGTGGGGGCGGGCGGGGGTGTGAGCAAGCAGAAGCATTGGGCAATGGAGGGCAGGAGGAAGCGGGAGCCTGGTCAGCGCATTCGGGAGGCGTGCAAGTTGGTCGAGGGCGCCGTGACATTACCACGTCCGCCTCCGAGATCTCCGAATTCGGGGCCGCGTCGAAAATTTCGCGCGGCGCGCGCCAAGGCCGGGGAGGGTAAGCAGCGAAGAGAAGGAGGGAGGACGACGAACAGGAGGAGAAGGAGGGCCACGGGCGCGGGTAAGAGCAGGGAGCTAAACAATTGTCTTCATGCACCTCGCTCTGAACAAAACTGCAAAAATCGAGGATCGAACTACTGGGCTCAGGTGGCTGCCCCGCGCCGCGCAGAGAGGCATGTGCGGGCGGGGAGGCGGAGGGAGGGGCGGGGCAGGAGGCGGAGAGAGCAAAAGGCGCGGGGGCGTGCCACTCATTGCGTCCACAAGCCTCACGTCCCCCTCCACGTTCACACACGGATGCGGCCTCCCGCCGGTGTCGATAATGTCTGTCGTCAGCGAGTCGGGCGGGTACTCCCTGACGAGGTGCCGGTCGGAGTCGCCCATGCGCGGTGTGTGGCAGTGCAGCGCGGGCAGGTGGACGAGCGGCACGGCGTTGACGAAGGCGTAGTAGCCCAGGGACACCTGGTCGGACACGACGTGGGGCCACTCCCTGCACGACGCCACCTCGCCGATCGCGTCGAGGGCGAGCCGGTTGAGCAGGACGGCCCCGCCGTCGAGGCACGGCGCGTCGAAGTCGTACGCCTCGGTGTCGGACAGGCAGTGGCCGAAGACCAACGGGTGCTCGCGCGCGGGGTGCTGCACGACAAAGTAGAAGAGGCGCGCGAGGTTCACGAACACGTCGTCGCCGAGCAAGACGACCCACTCGGTCTCGGGGGCCAGGCCGTTCATCGCCCCCTCCGTCACGGCGCCGCGCATCCAGATCAGCAAGCGGGAGGCCGCCATAACGTCCCGCTGGCCGTGGACTCCGCTCCCGTCGTTCATCAACACCTCCACCGCGCCAGAGGCGCCCGCGAAGCCAGCTCCCGCGATGGCGGCTGGCAGCAGCGCGGCGCCCAGCAGCTGCGGCCTGCGCCCTGCGCCCCGCGCGGCGGGCTGCAGGATGGGCAGGAAGGCCAGCCGGCCTGCGGCCGAGGCGAGCAGGCCCGCCGCCGCCACGCCGGGGCGGCGGCGCGCCCGCGGGCGGCCGCCGTCGCCGCGCCCGGCCATGGCGCGCGCCGCCGGGGGGGCGCAGCCGCCGCCCCAGACGCGCGGGCGCCCGCGGGCGCCCGGGCGGTGGCACCGCGTGCGAGTGCAGCCACTTGGCCTTGAGCCAAGTGGCTTGAGCCACTCCCGCTCGGGCCGCGCAGCGCGCCTGCTTCCGCATCCCTGCGGGTGACCTGGAGCACGTTTCCTGCGCCGTCTTCGCCGCAGTCGTCGGGCGGCGGGGTCGGCCAGAGGAGGAGCGGGAGCGGGCAAAGGACAGCAGAAGCACATCCTGCGCCTCTCCTGGGGATCTACTGGTAGGTCGGGCATGTCCCCCTACAGGCGGATTTGGGGAGAAAAATCGAAAGTACCCCAAACATATTCACATGTGATCGACCGAGAAGACTCGAAATACCCAAAACAGACCCGAAATCAAGCATGGAAAAAACAAAAAATCGTTCCCAGACTATTCGTGGACTATTGTGGAAGATTCCTCCTGTAATCGGACGGGCCCGACTGAAATCTACTGACCTGGGTCAGCCCAAACCCGGACCAGTCGGGCTCTGCAGATCCCTGCAGGGTCCTGCAGGGACCCGCGCCTGGACCTGGGTCGGCGCGCCCCGGGCTCGGCAACAGCCAGCAAGATCCAGCGCTCCGACTGACCCCCGTCTGCTCCGACCCCCGTCCCAAGGCCCCCGACTCCCCCGCTCTTCTTTGAACGCCCGAAGTGGGTACGGAAAAAATGGGCACAATGCCCAACAGCAATTGCTGTCGCAAACCAACAGCGGCCGCTGTTGGGCAGGCGGCCTTCTTCCTCGAATTGGTACAGGCCGCGGCGGCGTGGACAGGGAGTCCTGTTCAAAAAAAACAAGAACTGCTGTTGGGCATTGTACCCATTCTTTCCGTGCCCATTTCGGGCGTCCAGATCTTCCTCTGACCCGACATCCGCCCACAGCGCCCCCCCCCCCCCCCCCCCGCAGGCCTCTCTGCCTGGTCCGCTCAGGCCTGTCTCTCGCCCCGGGCAAGTGGACGGCCCCAGGGGCCCGAAGAAAGGAGCTCCGAAAGGCGGAAGTCTACCAAGAACAGCTGGCGGGTGTCTTGTTGCTCCTCCATTTTTCCCAACCCTCCTGTGTTGAGTCGGGCTCTCGCTTTGAATCACGCGCGAGCGTCCTCCTCCTCCTCCTCTTCCTCCTCGTTCCTCCTCCTCCTCCCCCTCTTCCTCCTCGCTCCTCCTCTTCCTCCTCCTCTTCCTCCTCCTCTTCCTCTTCCTCCTCCATGTTTCCCAACCCTCCTGTGTTGAGTCGGGCTCTCGCTTTGAACCAATAGCGCGCAAGCGTCCTCCTCCTCCTCCTCCTCCTCCTCCTCCTCCTCTTCCTCCTCCTCCTCCTCCTCCTCCTCCTCCTCTTCCTCCTCCTCCTTCCTCCTCCTTCCCATTTTTCCCAACCCTCCTGTGTTGAGTCGGGCTGTCGCTTTGACTCAACAGCGCGCGAGCGTCCTCCTCATCCTCCTCTTCCTCCTGCGCCGCCCGCTCTCCACTCCTCCTCCTCCTCTTCCTCCTCGTCCTTTTCCTCCTCCTCCTGCTCATCCTCCTCCTCCTCCTCCTCCTCCTCCTCCTCCTCTTCCTCCTCTTCCTCCTCCTCCCTCCTCTCCTCTCCTCTCCTCTCCTTCTCTTCCTCATTTTCCTCCTCCTCTTTCTTCTCCTCCTCCTCCTCCTCCTCCTCCTTCTCCTCCTCTCCTCCTCCTCTCCTCTCCTCTGCTCTCCTCTCCTCTCCTCTCCTCTCCTCTCCTCTCCAGTCATATCTTCTCCTGCTGCCTTGCTCGCCGTCGCTGCCCCTGCCATTGTCCTGCGCCCCCGTCCTTCTCCTCGTCCCCCCCCTCCTTCATCACGGGCTCTGGGGCCACGAAAAGCTCCGACGTCACTTGCAGCAACGCGAACAGATCACGACCAAAACTCTGGACCCATATGGTTTGGGACGAAGCCACTCGCCGTCCGCTTCTGCATCTGATTCGCCCGCCCCCTCCTTCATCACGGGCTCTGGGGCCACGAAAAGCTCCGACGTGGCAACACACTTGCAGCAACGCGAACAGATCACGACCAAAACTCTGGACCCATATGTTTTTGGACAATTCTTCAAGCCACTCGCCGTGCGCTTCTGCATCTGATTCGCCCGCTTCCTCCTTCATCACGGGCTCTGGGGCCACGAAAAGCTCCGACGTGGCAACACACTTGCAGCAACGCGAACAGATCACGACCAAAACTCTGGACCCATATGGTTTGGGACAATGCTTCAAGCCACTCGCCGTCCGCGTCTGCATCTGATTCGCCCGCCCCCTCCTTCATCACGGGCTCTGGGGCCACGAAAAGCTCCGACGTGGCAACACACTTGCGGCAACGCGAACAGATCACGACCAAAACTCTGGACCCATATGGTATGGGACAAATGCTTCAAGCCACTCGCCGTGCGCTTCTGCATCTGATTCGCCCGCTTCCTCCTCCATCACGGGCTCTGGGGCACGAAAAGCTCCGACGTGGCAACACACTTGCAGCAACGCGAACAGATCACGACCAAAACTCTGGACCCATATGGTTTGGGACAATGCTTCAAGCCACTCGCCGTGCGCTTCTGCATCTGATTCGCCCGCCCCCTCCTTCATCACGGGCTCTGGGGCCACGAAAAGCTCCGACGTGGCAACACACTTGCAGCAACGCGAACAGATCACGACCAAAACTCTGGACCCATATGGTTTGGGACAATGCTTCAAGCCACTACAATGCTTCAAGGCCCTCTCGCCGTGCGCTTTCTGCACCTGATTCGCCCGCCTTCCCTCCTGCCACATCACGGGCTCTGGGGCCACGAAAAGCTCCGACGTGGCAACACACTTGCAGCAACGCGAACAGATCACGACCAAAACTCTGGACCCATATGTTTTTGGACAATTCTTCAAGCCACTCGCCGTGCGCTTCTGCATCTGATTCGCCCGCTTCCTCCTTCATCACGGGCTCTGGGGCCACGAAAAGCTCCGACGTGGCAACACACTTGCAGCAACGCGAACAGATCACGACCAAAACTCTGGACCCATATGGTTTGGGACAATGCTTCAAGCCACTCGCCGTCCGCTTCTGCATCTGATTCGCCCGCTCCCTCCTTCATCACGGGCTCTGGGGCCACGAAGAGCTCCGACGTGGCAACACACTTGCAGCAACGCGAACAGATCACGACCAAAACTCTGGACCCATATGGTTTGGACAATTCTTCAAGCCACTCGCCGTCCGCGTCTGCATCTGATTCGCCCGCTCCCTCCTTCATCACGGGCTCTGGGGCCACGAAGAGCTCCGACGTGGCAACACACTTGCAGCAACGCGAACAGATCACGACCAAAACTCTGGACCCATATGGTTTGGGACAATGCTTCAAGCCACTCGCCGTCCGCTTCTGCATCTGATTCGCCCGCTTCCTTCTTCATCACGGGCTCTGGGGCCACGAAAAGCTCCGACGTGGCAACACAATTGCAGCAACGCGAACAGATCACGACCAAAACTCTGGACCCATATGGTTTGGGACAATGCGTTCAAGCGCCACTCGCCGTCCGCTTCTGCATCTGATCGCCCGCGTTCCTCTTCATCACGGCTCTGTGCCACGAAAAAAGCTCCGACGTGGCAACACAATTGCAGCAACGCGAACAGATCAACGACCAAAACTCTGGACCTCATAATGTTTTTGGACAATTCCTTCAGCCCGCCGCCGGCACCGCGTCTGCGCCTGATTCGCCCGCTCCCTCCTTTCATCACGGTCTCTGGGGCCACGAAGAGCTCCGACGTGGAACATACACTTGCAGCAAACGCGAACAGATCACGAGATCAAAACTCTGGACCCCTATGGTTTGAACACCGTCTTCAGCCACTCGCCGTCCGCGTCTGCGTCTGATTCGCCGCTCCGCTCCTTCAGCACGGGCTCTCCCTTGGGGCCACCAATAATCTCCGCGTGGCAACACACACTTGGCAGCACCGCGAACAGAGTCACGACCAAAACTCTGGACCCATATGTTTTTGGACAATTCTTCAAGCCACTCGCCGTCCGCGTCTGCATCTGATTCGCCCGCTCCCTCCTTCATCACGGGCTCTGGGGCCACGAAGAGCTCCGACGTGGCAACACACTTGCAGCAACGCGAACAGATCACGACCAAAACTCTGGACCCATATGGTTTGGGACAATGCTTCAAGCACACTCGCCGTCCGCCGTCTGCATCTGATTCGCCCGCTCCCTCCTTCATCACGGGCTCTGGGGCCACGAAGAGCTCCGACGTGGCAACACACTTGCAGCAACGCGAACAGATCACGACCAAAACTCTGGACCCATATGGTTTGGGACAATGCTTCAAGCCACTCGCCGTCCGCTTCTGCATCTGATTCGCCCGCCCCCTCCTTCATCACGGGCTCTGGGGCCACGAAGAGCTCCGACGTGGCAACACACTTGCAGCAACGCGAACAATCACGACCTGGCCATCGCTCGGACGTCCATTGCCTGTGCTCTTTTCGGTTTCGTGCGTGTTTTTTTTCGCGAGATGATCAAGGATGCTCCTCGATGGTCCTCGCCGAAGGAGGAATGCACACGTCCGAGCGATGTCAAGCGACCAAAAAACCTGGACCCACATGGTTTTGGATGGCTGCTCAAGCCGCAGCGCGCCGTGAAGCACCTGGGGCCCGAGGCGAGGCCGACCCGCCCCGGGTGGTGCACAAAACACGCCGCTCCGATCCCAGGGGAGGAGGCCTTGCCACCGCTCGGGCGTCCATTCCCCTGTGCTTTTTGTTCGGTGTCGCGCGCGCTGATTTTTTTTTCGCAGGAGGATCCAGGATGCTCCTTCACAATCCCCGCCGAGAAAAAA